GGCCGGGGGGGGTGGGGGGGGGGAAGAAGAGAAAAATCATCCAACTTTGTGCTACAAAACTGTGGGGCCACAAAGTACAAAAAAAAAAAAATAATAATAATAATAATAAAGATTGGAACATTCTCAACCAGAAGAAAGGAGAAGAAAACAGTCTGCAATAGTTGTGTCATCTCACAAGCAAAAAAAAATTCATTAGTAGTACCTTTGTCAAACAGTTTATGCAAGTGACAAGAGTTCTCTCATCTTCAGTAACCAATAAAGGTACAATAACCTGCAAAGCACAAAAGTAAGGCATATGATCAGCCCACGGGGAAAGAGGAATCAGCTCAAGGGATCTTAAAAGTAAATTATAAAAAGTAGTACTTACGCTTAAACATCTGAATGGATCATATTGAGACAACACTATAGTTAAGCTATGCTCTGCTATGCCTGAAACCTGAAATAGAAAGTTAATATCTTAAGTCATGGACAAGATCACCGAATGAGAACTGAGATAGTTTTTGCAGAGAGCTTACTTTTGGAACTCCGTCTTTTGTCACATGAAGCAGTTTTTCAATCACTATCTCAACAGAATCCTCTATGGCATCTTTCTGCCAATAATACAGAGAAGTCATGAAGATGGAAAGGGGGAAGAGGAAGACATTTGGGAAACTCTGGTCTACAACCATCAAGAATATAGACAACGGACCTGATTTTTCAGCATCTCTATGATTAATGATAAAGTCAGTTCCCTGATTGATGAATCAGAATCATCCAACACTTCAAGTACAGCAGTCAAGATCTGGTTAAAGTACTGCAAGACACAAAAAGAATTATAAACATTTGCAGGATGTATTTTGTCTTTGCGCATTGTATATGCTACAAAATTGAACACAAAACAATATAATTTCAGCACTAGAAAGGAAGGTAATACTGCTTATTTTCAAGGAGTCTATCATTAAAGAAAATAAATACAATGGGAATAAAATTGCCAGCATTAAGTTTCACAAAACTGGTGCAATATAAATTACGAGACTTCCAGCACCTTTTATAATAATTAAATTTCCATGGAGTAAACTATGTACTATTTAATACAATTGTCATTTTTTTAACAATTAAGAACAGAAATTATAGTAGACAATATAATTTTCAACAGTAATGCCAGTTATCTTTCATTAAGCTGAAATCATAACATGTAAAAAATTGATCAAATATTCTAGTTAATTTTTCCTGTGCCATATAGATTGCTATGGTCCAAGGCACCATCTTTCTCCATTCTGAGACATATTCTTCTTCCAGTTCTAGACAAACATATGGCAAAGTTCAGCTTTATAAACTCAAACACTATATATGTACCATATTATTGATTGATTTTATCCCTCGCCTATTTTTTTTTAAATTACAGAGTAAATAGTCATTAAGTTCACATCAAGGAAAGTCATTAAATTCACATCAAGGGAATGTTGAGCACGAAGAAGAAATAAACTTTGTAGACTTAGCCCCCGTTTGGCCCCCATTTTCTAAAAATGAAAATGGTTGGAATAGTATTTTTTTGAAAAAATGAGTAGTTGAAAAAGAAGTAAAAGTTTTCGATTTACATGTTATATTATTTTATGAAAAATTGTGTGGTTGAAAATAGGAGAAAGAAAAATAGAATACAATGAAATGTAATTTAATGGGGGTCAAACGGGAGCTTAAAAACATTGTACGAGGAGAAATTTTAAGCATAAATATTTTTACATTTTGAATTTTCGGCCTATTATATTCACCTTTGTATGATTTTCTACCTAGACTACCATAAAATTACTTCTTGAAAGTATATTAACGTTTCGAAAGCATCGCCAAATTCAAAATTAAAAAAAGCACTACCTACAAGAACACATTTAAACTACAAAACTTAATTATAATTTCTGCACTTTAGAACCTGTTCTGATCTGTGTTTCCTTTTAACTCTATTACACAAATACATAACCAAATTTAAGAACCAAAAATACCTTGCTCCAAATAGATTGATCATTACACACTGAAGCCTCCACTAGCTGCTGAAGTGCACCACGCTTATTTGCTGCAGGACTTTCACCATTCCCATTGCAAATCTACCCAAAAGTTGGAGAGGGAAAATGGCAAAGGGTCAGAGAAAAGCATACTCAAATTGTTATCTTCAAACTCTTAAAAAATTAAGAAATGAAACTTATACAGGTCTTAAGATGATGAGGTGTGAAGAATGAGTTTGAAAATGAGATCATTCAAACAATCCACATAGAACACAAAACTCACCAAATGAAGAATCTGCGGAATGCTTAGCCCTTCTGGTTCAGAGTTTATGTTCAAAGCAGAATGCTTAGAATGATTAAGTGCCAGCTCTGATGAAAGCTCGTTCTCAACCCCAAAGTCTGCAATGGTCTGTTGATGATCAGATCCAACAAACTCATTTATGCTCAAATGTGGCATTGATGAAACCTCAGCACTTGCAGGGCGATCCATACTTTCTAACCCACTAGCCCAACATCCAATGTTATCAGTGACAGAATTACTTGCATATTTCAGATTCTTAGAATCAGGACAGATATCAGGGTTGGAACTGGTCTCTATTTTATGATTTAAGTGCTCCTGAGCTTCATCAGATTTTAAGTGACCAATAAAGCCTGTAACATGGGACGCATCTTTAAGAGAACTCCACTTCCTACCACCATCACTATCAACAGAACTAGTAAGATTAGTCCACTTTCTACCACCATCACCATCAACAGAACCAGCAGAATACCTTCCAAATAGCTGGCTCTTCTTTGATGCTCCAATATAACCCTCTTCAGAGGATGTTCCAACTACATCAAAGGGATCATACGACGACTTACCACGTCTCTCTTTCTTGTTCTGCAGAAAGTTCATCAGATCTACTTCTATACGGGGAGTATATTGCTTGAGGGCTCGTCTCAATGAATTTTGTTCTTCAACAGATAAGCTAAGAATAAAGTTCAATACAGCTATTGAATCAAAATGGGTATAAACAGATATGAAACAAGTTATGGAAGCTTCCTTCAGTTTCGTATTTTTATCATAGACCATTGGTGTCAACTTGGCAAGAAATAACTTCAAGATACCACTGTTAGCACACCCTTCAGAATTTGATGCATGCTTGTTAAATGAACCAATTGCAAACTCAATAACTGCTAATTTTGCCTTAGGAGAACGCTGTTCATCCAATGACCGGAGCAAAGCAGGTAGAAGAGAATCTGTACCATAAGTTTTGCTAACAATATCCAATGTAGTTGAGCAAGGTTGCCTTACTAATTCCTTAGGATCAATTAACCGAGAAAATACATGTGGCAGGATCCTCTCCATGTAACTTTCAAAGGGTTTTCTGCATGCTGGGATTAGATCTGCAAGAGTTGAAAGAGCCGCTTGTGCAACTTTATGATGGGGATCATCCAAATGCTGGAAAAACAATTTCATGACCTTCTCGAAACTCTGCATAATTTCTTGAATACCTCTCTGGCCTTGCTGAAGCATAGATCGCACATAATTAAACGCAGCAACACGGACACTCCAATCTGAACTAGAATTGAGCCCCTCACTCAGTGCATCATTAAGAGAAGCTGGTACATCTGCATAACTTGATACATCTCCCAGTAAGAACTGATTATCATCAAAGCTTCTCCTCCTGCCTGAAGACATTCGCCCAGCAATATTCTTTCTTAACAGTGGTCGTTGAAAATTTGGTATGCCATTCTGCGAATCCCTGTAATTAGCATCTTTATAAGGTGTATCAAAGTATTGCCTATCAAAATGGGAGTTCATATATCGCCTTGCTTCTCTAACGTCAGTATTTCCTTCGATCAAACATCTTTCCGGCAGCTTTTCAGAAGCTCTCTTGGTTGAGTAAGAAGAATGTCCTGATAGAGATTCACTCTCATCATTTTGATATGATAATTTAGCTAAATCTTTAGATGTCTGAATCTGAGTGATGATGTCAGACAAAATCAAGCCTCTATTGCGGTTATCACCTTTAGATATTCCAGACATAGAATCCACTACTAAAGGATTTGTAAGAGTGTTTGAGGCTGGAACAGCAAGAGGAAATGGTGGATCACGAGATGATGGTGGCTCAACTCCTGCACTAGGGTCAATAGAAAATGTTAAATCATTCACCAAAGATTCAAGATGAAAAGCATCATCTAGTTTGAAGGCGATATCTCAAGGATGGAACCTAACAAATACTATGAAAGCTGAGGAAGAGCAATTGTTATGAAAGAAAATATTAGAAAAGGAAATAACTACCCAGGTCCAAACTAGAGGATCGGCCTTTTTCAGATATATCCAAACCTCTCAGCATACTTTCTATAGCAGTGACCTTTTGTTTGCTTGAATGCAGCACGCTTTCAAGGCTACGCTCTGTGGGTTTACCTACAGACTTTGATTGTGATAAAAGTAGTCCAGAGGAAAGAGATGTCCCTGAGGGTATACTTGCACTTCTGTTCATTGCTACTATCGCAGAAGTCCCATAACCTGGTATATTTGAAGGTGCAGATGTTTGAGATGCAAGCAATGTGTTCGAGTTCCTCTCACGAACAGAAGGAGAAGCATGTCTTCTATGCATACCTCCATCCTCATCGTTTATTACCTGTGCAAATAATGCCACATTATTTCGAAGTTTTAAACAGTTGTTGAGAGGTGCACGGTGAAAGCTTAAGATAGGAAAGGATGTACCCTTTGAACAACAGGATCAAAGGACAAAAACAAGCGTCGAGAACGCTCAGGCCAGGTCTTTGTGAACATCCTATAACAAGTCCTTGCAGTAGAGCGTACCTGTTTGAGTTCAATGAGTCAAGTGATGGACACTGCTACGGATTAAAGAGGGAAATAAAGAAACTACAAAATGTGTATAGTACTTCAAAGAAAATTAAAAAGAAAAATTTGGCCCAAATATCTGCATTACAAAATGAAAATTTGTTATAACACAAAGTCAACCACTGCCCCAGGAAAACAAAGGGGTTCATGTACAAACAATATGTACCTCGCTCATTGCATCTGCAACACAACATCTAATAAGGTCGTCATAAAGGTCAGCAGATCGCTGTATTTCAGGTGCGTCAGCCCAACATTCAAGTATCAGAAGTGCATATTCACAACACCTGAGTTGGGAAAAAGGAAATTAAGATATAAGAGTGCATGGCCTGTAGAACTGCTCACTTGTACTACAAAAGGAATCATACCTGGCACGAAGTAAAGCATTGCGGTCATTCTTCGCACTGTCAACTATACGAGGAAGTGCACGGGAAACTTTGCAATTGCGTAACATCTGGAAAAACAAATTTAGGGCACATATGATTGGAGGAAGTATAAATGAAGAAAAGAGACAAGCTAACCAAGCAAGTCATAAGACATTACAGTTTTTATGCAGTTATCAGCGGATTCTGCAATTACAAGTACTGTTATCACAACAAGCTTGAAAAGGACCTAAATTTAAAAGCACAGTGTGAGAAACAGGTTAAATATATCAGATTAGTAATTGGATAAGGAAACTATTCTCACTGGAATAAACATCTCAGCGCATGACTCAAAGTCCCCCAAGAGCTCTTTTGACAAGAAGCACAACAAATGGCAGGCCTAACAAAATGAACAAGGAACAACACCACAAAAATATATTTTAGCAACGACATAAATATAACACAGTGAGCACAATTATCTTCAATTTACAAATAATGCAATAATAAAAATATATAACCCAAAAAAACTATTATTTCCTTATCAATAACATGTCAAAGCTGAGAATGATTACAGACTGCCCATAAACTAGCAAACACCAGAACGCTTATGTGTATAAAGATGCATATGAACACTCTCTCAACATTTGAGAAGAGAATTCACTAGGAAGTGAAATAAACAGTACAGTTGGATACTGTAAAGATAATCCCTTTGAAAGATATAACATATATTACGAAAATAACTCCTAGTTTTCTCGCCAATGTAACATAAGGGTATGCAACTTCATCACAAGAAAAGGCAGAAAAAAGCTACAGTTACGAGCAAACTTGTGTAAAATACCTGCTTCACTATGCTAGATCTCCGATCTGATAGTTGGGTGCTCAATGGGCCAACAAGTTGTTTAAGAAGTCCACGGAAGCAGGGATAATCAACCGCACCTGATAAGTTGGAATGAGAAATGATAAATATATTTACACTGAATAGGACCATAAATATATGTCAAAATTTACACAGTATAAAAAACTTGGACCCTTTTTCTAGTTGAAATAAATCATTAGATAATCTTAGTAAAATCCTAGAATTTTGGAAAGACACAAAATGCATGGAAGGCTCACACATAAAATTTTCCACGATTTGGGTCTTCTGAGGACCATTAACAATTAATAATACATGCCAATCACTTGCTCAAGGCCAAAAAATTGTTTATCCAAAAACTTCCAAGCAACAAGACAACCACTGCTTGACGTAGAAGTTCAAACTTTTGTTTTCCATTTATGGGTTTTGGAAGGGTAAGGGAGGTGAGTATATATTGTTTTGTGCTTAAATGCACAATATGTCGATTCATCAGAATCTTTTCTACCCCCGTCTGTCCAAACTATATATTCAGCTCAATTCATATATTTCTACAGAACCCAACAACAATATAAAGTTTATTGCAATATCATGACATAAGAAATTCAAAAAATAAGAGATGCAAGCAATTAGCACATCATGTTCACAGAGGATAACAGAGAGGCTGTTAGTTGTGTAGTTAGGTGGAATACAGACCTCCGATAACAAGGCCTTCCACTCTCTGCATGGCTGCAGTACGGATAGACCAATCTTTATCTGGAACAAGGGTTGAAGCAATCTTTTCAAACTCCCTGATAAGCTCCTTCTCTGAATACACTTTAATCGGCTCAACAGATTTCTCAGTTATATCACCATCTCCTGCTCATAATTGAAAGAACACAATAAGTCAGCAGAGCATGATGCTAAAAGAACATCATCAAGTTTAAAAATACACAGTTCCAGAACATCAGTTTAATCAATCAAATTTTAAACTTGGGGAGTACATTTTTTCAATGTCACCAGTAAAATGCTACTTAAATAAACAAACTCGCCAGTAAAAGATTATTTTTTATATTTTTCACACCGCACAATTCATTGAATGGATAAAATGAGCGACAAGATGTGGAACAGCCAGTATATGCTACATTGGTTATCTAGTCAGATAAGGATCTTAACCAAGATTGACCTCGAACATATAATAATAGAAAAATCTATAGTATCCAGCACAAGTACTGACCTCCTAATAGAGATACCTCACGCATGGAGCTTTTGGCCTTAGGGCTGCTCTTTTTTGGATTAAGAGTTGTAAGCTTTGTCTCACTGGCCGCATAGTTGCTCGCAATTGCCTCTGACGAGCGAACTTTTGGCTCAATTTTCTCCAATCTGGCATTTATATCTCTTATCTGCATTGTATCATCATATCAGAAAACTACTGAGTAATAAGCCTTGAACAAAGTTAAAGTTTTACATTAGACAAGAACTGCACAAATAATGCTAGATTAACAAATCATTAACTCAATCTCCCACGTGAATCAGTAAGCACTTGAACTGCTCAGACAAGTAGTATCAACTGTAACTATATATTAAAATTGGAGAAGGCATATAAAAAACAAAAGCAAATCAAAATCTCAGCCTGGCACATTTGAATGATAAATACTTAAATTTAGAAGTAATATAATCTCTAATCCCAATGTTACCATTGATGTGGGAAGCTGATGTCTGTTCAGTTCCTCACGGAACTGGGGCCCAGCCTGAGTATACATCTCCTGGGGAAATGAAACAAGATTGTCAAGAAAGGCAAGGTGAAGCAATTCTTAAGATGCTGATGACGTGCCAATTCACTAAGGAGAAAATGCTTAAGCACTTCAGCAGCAGCATAAATACACAAAATGTAAAAAACTAGCTCCACCAAGATTCTCAGAATAAAAAGTCCATGGAACATATGTTGCAGCACAAAAAAACTATACATACTTATATGCAAAAGTTGATCCAAGCTGACAACCAATCCAAACCCAATGAATTTTGAGTGTTTCCTTCAATCGACCAAAATTATGACATGATCACTCAATGACATAACCTTTTTGCTGAAAGCATGCTAACCTAGGAAAAAGTCAACCAAAATTTAAGCTGGTTCTGAATTATATAAAGAATAGGCTACCTCTTTACCAACCCAAATCACGTGCTTGTTAAAAGGTAACCTCATCTTGTCAATTCAAAACACACCTCTACAACTAAATTTCCATCCTTATTTCTTTTACATTCATCTCATGCATATTTCTTTGACAGCACCTCAAGCATCCATGAGATTAAGTAATTGCATAGTCTTTATATTCCTAGGAGATTAAACTCCTTCAAATGCAGTCCAGTTTATTGTGCGCTAATTATACTAACATGGGCATGTGCAGCATTATTTGGCATTTCTCCAGACAATTCCAGAGATGTAACACCTTCAAATAATGGCACAAATGACCTGAAAATGTGCATAAAATTATTTGATAGTTTGTTTACCTCCTACTGAATGTTCTTTAGAAAACTTACCTAACACCTAGAAACGACAAAAGGTTACAAAAGTTAGGGCCCTCAGAATCCTTTTCCAGCAAATCTTTCTTCAATACTCTAGTTGATTCACCAAGCTATCCCATGTTTGCCCCTTGATGCACCAACACGGACACACTGACAAGCAATTTTTCAAAAAATACTAACATGATACGTGGCTAACAAATTGATTTAAATATATTTTTTAAAATTTTGTACTTTATTTTTCACGTCAAAGGTAAAAAATAAAAAATCAAAGGGTTTGAGCAAGAAGAGTTTTCTCTTAAAATGAAGCCTAAAGCTTTCTTTAAATGAAATGGGTTTGCTTCTTGTATAAGTTTGCATTTCAAAACATGGGCAAAATAATAACTTAGTTGTTAAAAAAGTTGTTCAATATTTAAAATTAGTAAATATACGACTTAACAAGCAAGATTTGTATCACTAAATAAAATGTAAATCCAGTTTAAAATGGCTAGACACACTTTAAAATTGACAAGGCCCACTTTCAAAAAATTGATCTAATTACCAAAACATTAAAATTGAAAATATGACTCTCATCATCCACAAAATAGGTTTCCAATAGAGAATTCCTGCCACCCATACGGTGCCATCAAGTTACCGCAACAGAAATTTCCCATAGCCCACGAAACATTGGAACTATAGACACCAAAACCCAGCTAAATCGGCATGGTAGGGTTAGTTTTTCCTTGCATTCTTATTTTTTCATCTTTTTTTATCGTTGAAAATTAAAAAAAAAACACGCCACTTGGTGTGCCAGGACACATGCTGGTGACATGTCAGTGTTCGATATGAGTCCAACACCAATACACCGGAGTTGAGAGCGTGTCTATGCTTCCCCAATTTACCCCGTTTAAGTTCTCTTCAAAACCTTGCATCCCTAACAGTATGGTAGGATTTCTATGGCTGGTATCTCATAGGAAAATTGATAATCATAAAATGGTTCGAAAGAAATGCCCTTTTCCTCCATCTCCCCTTCATGGACCGCTATGGGTAGAAAGGATTCAGAAAGAATGAATCACATATTTTCACATTGTGATGTCATGAGGGGTTCATTTTCGAATCCTTCAGGAATTTGGTTTCAGATTAGCCTTCCCAAGCAGGTGTTTCCTCGTTGAAAAAATAAATGGTTTTGTCAAGTGAAAAAGTAGGAATGTATGATCATGTGAAAATCAACAATTTCAACTATTTTTTGTGGGATACCGGGAAAGAAAAAATAAGATACTTCAAACAAACAAGACTATTCTGAGTTGTGAGAAAAATCTAAATTTTTACCATCCTCAAGGATTTCCAAAAGTAAAGAGTTTTAAGGTTGTCTTTTTAATTCTTAAATTGGAAAAAAAAAAAATGTATCAGATTCTAGACTTGACTTTATTTTTTTTGAAGATTAGAGAATTCTTGTCCTCTTAACAGTTGAAGTTATGCTTCTAAAACTACTAATTTATGCTTCTCGTCGAAAAAAGGATATACACAATAACTCGATGATCATGTCAGCAAGAACATAGAAATGCTCATCTAGTACAACATCTTAGCACATATGACATATCCTTTCTTAACCTGAGTAAACAAATCATACTCGGTCCCATACAACTCACAATAACATGTTTATTCTAAAGACAGCTAGATAAGCTTTACCATATGTATCAGCATCCTCAGTTTACCTCCTACTCAATGCAACCATTGGTTTGATTTGGATTTTTCTAAAGTGAAAGAGGTTTCTAATTTATATATTTATATGAAATTTGTAACACAGCACAGTCACATGTATTGGTACTTTCACAGTCTCATCCAACATATTGGCTCTTATTTAGGAGTTGTATCTAGATCAAGCATCATAAGACCAAATTCCAATTTAATCATTTTTTACTAAGCCAACTTACAACATTAGTAAGAAAAAAAACATTGGAGTGTTGTTGAAGGCAATACTTATATGATATACATGTAGCCCTCTTTAACTGGTTGAGCTTTTAAACCAAGCGCATCCAACCCAACTCAAATATGAGAAGCTTCCATGCTAGTAGGATAGTATAATTTTTCTTGTTTATTTGAATTAACAGATTCTTGAAGTACACACATGATGGTGTAATGTGGAATGTGTGGAAAGACAATGCATAAAAAATTATAATTAACCTATTTCTCTATGATGAAGAATTTTAAACAAATGAAATTGTGCCCTTTTTAATGGCTTAACCTTTTAGATTAGGTAGTTCAACCTGGTATTAGAGCTAGAAAATATATTAGGTTCAAGTCCTCCTGCCATCCATTTATAAAAAATAAAAATAAAAATGCATATATTAGACATTTGATAATAAAAATGAACACACGTATTGAAGAAAATTGAAATAACTGAAATTGTCCCCTCTCTATCAGCCTAACCTTTTAGATGGTGTTTAACGTGGTATTGGGGCCCACAATTAAATTCGGTTCCCCATTTATTAAAAAAAAAAAAAAAATGTGCACACATTAAACCTTTGGTAATAAAAGTGAATCAGCCTACATGTAAGAAGATATGTTGAAGAAAATTTAATAAATGACATCATCCTATCACTAATAGCTTAACCTTTTACGTGGTGTAGTTCAACACTCCAAATGAGATGGAAGTAGAGGTTCTATTGTTGTTTGCACATGTAAGTATGTGTGTGTGAGAGAGAAAGTGATCATGATGACCTGACATTAGTGACGTAACTACAACTATTCTTGTAATTAGTACAATTAAACAATGACTTCTATTGCTATTACTATTGCAAAAACATGTTAATCATGCATTAAACTAACCTCAATGCATGAAATAGCAGCTTCCCTCACACCAGGATTTGGATCCTGCAACATCTGCAAAATCTGACACCCACGAATAAAAATATAAGGCTGTGAAATCTTTCTTCTCTTAAATTCAAAATTAGCGATAACATATATTGGCACGTCCTACAAAATATATGAAATCAACATACTGGGGGAAGAATAGCACGTTGAAGAGGTAGTTCCGTCGATGCAAAGAGGCCAATTGCTGATGTGACGGTCCGTGCAAATTCTTCTCGAACTCTCCAGCTTTTGTGTCCCCAAGCATAAGATCCTGCTCTTTCAACAATGATTGTCGGTAAAGAAACCTGTTGCAAAATTAACCATCAACAGACAACATTCTTACTTTTCTCCATAAATGTGAAATATTTGTCACACATCCATTGCCCAGAAAAGGTCTTAACTTTATGTACATTAGAAGGAATGCAGATTGGATGAATGACTGACAAGGAGGCTTTAGAATCACAAGACCAATAAGCAACAGCAAGATAATATGTACTTCCATGTTATCAAATATCAGAAGAGTTTGAAAAGACAAAGCTAAACTTTTTGCTTTCAGATCACGTGAAAAAATGGTGACCACTATAATTGGTTTATTGTATGCATCCTAGACTTCAGTAGATATCACAGCAGTTCCAGTGCCAGCATTCCTTATTGTTAATGATATTTACAATTATAAAATAGGAAAGAGGGAGGCAAAATTCAGATATGACCAGTATAGGATTAATCCTTGATTAACCATTTCTCACAAGCAGGTAAGTTATAACACACAATTGAGAGCTATCAGCATTCTACGAAAAAAAATTGAGAACAAGAAAATTGCATATAAACAGCATAACTGACCACAGGAGAAGCTCTTCTAGGCATTCACCTCATGTGTCACAGCCAGGTAAGTGCTTATTAAGTCCAAGAAACTCATACTATTTCTGAGAAATGCTGAAGTTTTAGGATCTTCAGGATATATGTGCAACAAAAATAAGGACATTTTTAGGCAACGTATTGTGGCATTGAAAGAGGCTAGAAAACTCTTGACGCGTGTAATTGCTTTTTTAATGTTGCACAAGCCAATCAAAAAGTTGCTTGATGTGGCTAATAGTTATACTAATAAGTGGTGGAAACCTAAAGTTGGAATCCTTTCTATGAGTATTGGAAGTATCCAGAGAGGAAAACAGAGCTTATGGAAATAGACGTTCAACTCTTGGCCAATATTTTGTACAATTTTCACTTTGTCCACAATTGTAAGGTGGTAATTTAAATTGGCATAATGTTTTAAGTGAGAACAGAAAAATAATATTTGATACAACTTTTATTTTTGTCCTCGATACTAATTTCCAAAATTGTAAACTAAAATCATTGAAAACTTGTCTGAAAAGTAAAGAATGAAAAACCTGGGAAGAGGACATTAATCGTGGAAGTTATTTCTCAAAACAGGAAAAAGAAGCAGAAGTATTCCATCACAAGGGCAGAGTACGTAAAAGTTGTAGGGTAAAGATACAAATGCACACTTTCAAACCTGTGCAGGAAATTACATATTTGTCCTTGTGCAGTTTGAAATCCTATGGTTGAAATGTCAATGGACATCTTTTATAACTCAATGTGCATAGCAAGTCTGTGTCATACAGGAAGATGGCAGATAGTGACAACGAAACGAAAATCAATGTAAAATTGTTTGTCTGAATTTTCATATCCTATATGCTTGCTATTTGCTAGCAATGATAGTGCAGCTTCATTATAGTAGCTCCTAATATTCAAAACGAAATCCTTTTATTTTATTTTTCCTTAAAACAAGCCCCAAAGTGATTCTCAATACATCCTGAACTACAAAAAATCGGCAATTCCAATTCAACTTTCTACCATGGATACAAAATTAAAATTAGAACTTCATTGCAAAACCCAGAAATCTCTCCAATTTTTAACATGCCGAGTCCATGTCATAGACGTTCATCTTAAACTGTTTCCTTCGTTCCATAATTTAAAACAAATAAAAAAATGAAGTTATATTCAGCAACAGACATATACTGGTATCACCAATTTTCTAGCTTCACCGATCGCAATGTCAATCAGTCATCAAATTCATCAAATTTTAAATAGAACATTTATAATCACACTAATTATAATGGCGATCGATAAAGAAAAATCGACCAATTGAGAGGGGGTGCTGAGTAAGTCTGTGCTTGGGAGGCAAGTTCATTAGCAATCATTGTACCTCCATGAGAGTAAGTAAGAGCCGTCTGGCAGCATCTCTCACTGGCTGTTTTCCATCGCCTAACCTCTCGACCACAGCGGGGACCAGCGCATTGAAATGTAGCTTCAAGTGTTCCCCTGATAACACGGCGGCCGAATCTAACGCCTGCAACGCGCCCTGCGACACCCGAAAGTTGTTGTCTTTCAAGAGATCCAGGCACACGTCGACAAGCGACGTCACCTCCGATGACGATAGACTCTTTCTGGAAGCTTCGAGAAGTTGGTGGAGTCTCTCTACGCCTGCCATTCTCTCCTTAGTGTCCTTAGCACGCGCCAACTCTAAAGCTTCCTCCATGGCGACGGCGGTGGTTCGCAACTCCGATCTGGCGCCAGTGGCTATCAGATCTGTAAGTGTGGGAAATGAGAGAGGGCAAAAGAGATGGTTTTGCTAGATCGACGGAGGAGAGGGTACAGTCTCTGAGTGCAGTTGGAAAATATGCATTTTTTTACTGCTAATTAATTGTCTGTATGGGCTTTCAATTTTTTTATTATTATATTTTTTTGGGTTAAAATTCTACTTTTCAAAAAATCGCAAAGGAGGTACTTTATATATGAATATTATGTAAGTAAGTCATTAACTTTCAAATATTGACACTCATATCCTTCACTTTTCACCTATGTAGCAGAATTTTTGAGTAGTTTAATGATTTATTAAATATTTCATTTTTGGAGAAGCAACGTAATAACTTTTTTTGACAAAGAGATTATTGGTAATTTATCCTTTAATTAGCAATAAATTAGGGAAAAAAATAGAGGAAGTAATCTTTTATTGTAGAAGGTAAGCTAAGTTAACAATCTTTTCTATTTATTTGTTCCAAACATAAAAATTTAATTAAAAAAATGTATTTATTTGATAAAACTTTGCTAAAGTTGAAGAGTTCTATCAACTTTTCATTGATCAAACTTCAATTTTAATCATAAATTTCATGGAATCAACAATTTAATCAAAATATGCTAAACTTAGATAAAATCTTTGTTTTCAAAAGTTGCGTTGCTATGTTTAATGATCTCGTGCAATTCAATCTAGATATGAATCTCAAATTATGTGTTTATGAGACAGCGTATAGTCGATTTTCAATTAACATAATAGTAAAGATAATGTTTTGACTACAAAGAAGTATGTGTAATATAAACATCTAAAAAATTCAGGACTAGTTAATTGTAGAAAGGACAAATAACTAACATAATTTTAAAAATTCAAGGGGCTATCAATGTGAAGTTCAGGATGTAGCGTATAAATAAGAGCAAATTACACTGAACGTCTTTTTAGTTTAGCTCTTTTGACTTCTACTTTCATTTATTGACAACGTAGTATTTAACGTTTTCATTTTTTAGGTTGATGCTTTTAGGGATGAGTTGTGTCCAAAAAAGCCATCACATTTTCATGCGCTACTTATATTGATCTAGGTCCATCGAGATGTTCGATCCAAACGCTATACATTTTACCACTTGAAAATATAATATTAAGAGCATCTACGATGTAATAATATGAATCATTGTACATGTGTCAAGTAAAATGATAATGAAGAGAATAACATCTCCAATGGGATGTAGATTGTGGATTTCATTAATCGCGGGTCACATGTGTGAAAGATAGGACATATAGAAAGCATGAATATAAATTGTAAAAATAAATAAATAAATGAACACATCATTGATCATTCAATAAAGATGAATTATAAAAATTAAGTGGAGGGTGTAATAGACATCTTCTCTAACTTTTAATAATTTATCTCCATTTGATGTAGTATTTAGTATCCTTCATTTAATTTCTCATAATTTAGGTCCCGTTTGAGTCGATTTTTTGAAGCAAAAAATAAAAAGGGATTTTAAAATAGTGATTTTGTTGAGAGTGTGAGATTAAAAAATATGAAATTTTTGAATTTATGTATAAAATTATTTTATGATAAAATAAGTGGTTTAAAATGAATTTGATAAAAAAAAAAAAAACGGAGGTCGAACATAGGCTATATCATTTGTCCTCCATCCTTTGTCTATTATGCACGTTGGCCCGTGGCTTACAATTTCCCTAATTCATACTTCCATTGGAGATGTTTCAGTTTCTCTTCATCTCCCATTTTGCTTGTCACATGTACAATAATTCATAGTTCGTTGCAACAGTGATGGTCTACTTCCCTTTTCTTCCACTCAAACTCACTAACATCTATCAAAATTTACTAAATTTTTTATAAAAAAATTATGTCAAACAATCCCAAATGGGTACCTCGGATAAAAGCTTAAATTGTTAGGAAATAAAATAAACTAATATAAATATACTTTATCCTCATCTCATCTATTCACTTGTAAAGTCGATAAACATCAATGGCGATGAGAGCATATGTTTTTTTGGCTTACTTTCTCGATTCTAAAATAACATGAAATATTGATTAAGGAAAAGATACGAGCCAAATTCCAAGTTTATTTATTCTTTGAGCCATATTGATCAATTTATGCAATTTCAATTTTGAACCCAAAATCGAAGCAATTAGATCACACTATTTAGAAACTTAATTTTTAAGGCATCGATTTTGAGTCCCTTCAAAGCTTTATATTTTGGAAAATTAAAATGCAAGGATAATTTACTTTCAAGGTTAATCTTGTCAACTTGCATGACTTGGTGCTAAAATTGTTACTTATATTTAAATTTTCATAGGATTACATTTATTGACTCTTGTTATTCACCGCATTTTTTGGAAAAACTCAGCTTTTCAGGATGCTTAGAGTAGGTATGGGAAAAGAGTACATAATTTTTTTTTTTGTTAAATATTGTTAAATATTATTCAATTTAATATATTCAATTATACAATTGCATTAACTGCTATTAAGAAATCGCACAATTGGCCTAGTTCTATTATTTGACAATAAAGACCTCCCAGTCAATACCACGTACAAGTCTTCTTTCTGATTTTTAATTTTTAATTTTCCCCCCTTGTGAACTCGCAATTAGTAGTTAGAGAAATGCCCTGTCGGTGACACTTAATTTGGTCTGATTTTGCTTAGGAATATTCCCTTAATTAAGAACAAGTGTAGAAATTCAAGAGAAAATCTTACTTTAATTGAAGATTCTAAGCATGTTTAGATTCAAGCTTGTTTAATGTAGCGAAAGAAGTACCTTCTTCACGTCAGTCAATTGAAATGTTTCTTTTAGTTTTTAACCAAAGATGAACATGCTATAACAAGTCATTCTTTTCATGAGAGTGTACAAAAAAGTAAATTTATATTACAATTATAAATATAATTTCTATTCAATATTGATTTGGTGTAATTGCTTGTCGATTATCGGTGCCAAACAAAAGAGTTAATTTGCCAACAATCACCTATAACTTGAACTTGAAAAGTTTATGAATTCTTTCGAGTTTTCTTTACTTGATCAAACATTCAACTTCATTTACAACCTATTAAAAATAAATCTAGAAATAAAATAAAAATAAAAATATTTCTTCTGAAATGTATAATATGAAGAAAAAGGTCATCACAATTACCATCTTCCATAATGATATTTAAGTACCAATCAAATGAGTCAATCATCTACTTTAATATCTTTTTTTACAATCATCTTTTTTAATATTTTTTTAAAAAAAAAAAAAAAAAAAATTATTCCTTCATTAATTCAAAATTTCGAATTTTAAGGAATCAATACTTGCGAAGGGATAATTACTCCGATAAATAAAATATGGATACATAATAATCATCCCTATAAGATGATTATTGAAGTATTACTGCAGTCAATAGTCCTTATGCAAGTATTGCTTTTGTCCATTTATTTAATTAGATAAGATAAACAAATGATTATGTTTACTATTCTAGTTTGTCAAATGTCATTTGGGTATGATTAATATATGCAAGACAACTTAATGACAAAGCCAATCCACCCGCTCACTTTTGGACATATAGAAGCAATCCAGCTGTCAACTTTCACTTTGAGAATGTGTTTCTCCCAACAATTTAATAGCAAAGAAAATGCAATATACAAAATAATAGTCGACCTTTACAGCTTGGCAATTCAAGACGACAAATTTAATTAGTTAAATTAGACAATACTCAACAAGATAAACAACTCGATATGTTGAATTAGAATATACTGAATAATATTATAGAAAATAAAATCAATCAGCTAGAAATCAAATTGGATGGGGCAAAACTCGTTCTAATGCTTTCTTTGTTTTCAAACAGTTCCTCTGCTTAAGTTTTTCCTAACCGCATTGATGATTGATCACCTTCGCTCATCAGGAAAGTTGGGAGCAAGCTAGTATATTTCTAACCTAATATTTAAAGATTCATAGTCTTGAAGCCCATACTCTTCCTATGAGAAGCGGAATAAAAAAGAAAGCACTTCACTAACGCTATTGATTGAGAAGGGAGAAGAGCCCCTCCTCAAAACAGAAAGACTAAACGCCAACGATCAATGGCCAACTTTAAGTCGAGTTCTGTCCAAAATTTGAACTTTAAGAATACAATATTCTGTGTAACACTACAACAATGCACATCTAGTCTGTCAAGTATGTACCAATGGAGCAACTACGTATCATCATAATAAGGTGCATTTGGAGCAACTGATGATAAATTTTTGAGAATAGTTTACCATTGCCTCGAAATTCAGTTAACACAGAGGAATCCGCGTGTTGTTCTCCAAAAGAATTTCCAGTCAAGTCGAGATGCTCCAATTTTCTTGTACAAGGAAGAATGATTTGAATTTTAATTTTCACATTTTTTTTCTAACACTCATATTTTATTATAAATGTATCAAGAAGGGTATTAAAAACTTTTTGATGCAAAAATTGTCTGCAGTTAGTTAAAGTTAAATGAACACGAGAACTAAAACCGATGAAAAAGACCATTAGATCGTGATTAATGTAAACATGTATTTGGCATTAGAGTTCTCACTGGGGGGCAAAACTAGATCATCTGCATGCATCATAATTCAAAGTTCAATCAACATTTTTTAATTACAAGACCAAATCATTTGAACTTTTTCTTTTAAAAGTGAACATAAACTGCATCATGAACCTAAAAGTTTATTTAGAGTGTGTTTGAACCCTTTTAATTTTGAAAAATGTATTATGAAATGTAGATTGATGGAGAATGTGTGGTTAAAAAATGGAAAAAATTTTGATTTGCATATAATATTATTTTAATAAAGAATGTGTGGTTGAAAATGAGTATTGTAGAAAAAATAATTTGGTAGATTGTAAAATAATGGGTGACAAATAAAGGTTTAATATGATGCTCTCTTAACATTTTGTGACCTCAATTTTTAAACCTCTAAGCGCTGCCACTTGGCAACCCCCGGCTCCCGCGTTAGCCATTCCTTACCACCATCAAAGCTTCGCACTCCTGTAAGTGTTATGCCCTAAATCCAATCGATTTAAGTTGTAAACACTTTTAATATGTTTAATGTATTTAATTTTGGCAAGATCTATTATTTATTTAAATTAATTTTCTGATAAATAATATTAAATA